GCAGGCGCCGCCCTCCGCCGTGCAGCGACCCGTGGCTCCTCCCGGCCCCGGGCCCAGATCTCCCTCTGGGAGGACACCATTCACTGCTAGTGCGACGCCCTGATTGCGTCTGTAATGACGCAAAAGTTATTCCCGGTCTCCCAGGAATATCTTTTTTTTTTTTTTATGTTTGCTCTCCTTTATTTGTTAGTTACAAAACCTCATTTTTGACTGGACTCAGACTTAGAGGTAGAAGCTCTCAGAGAGACAGTCTGCGTCTCTTCGCAGTCTGTTCCTGGCGTTTTCTTTGGCCTCCTTCACTCTCTTAGCCAAAAGCTCAGCATATTCTGCGGCCTCTTCCTTGTTTTTCTTAGTACGTTGTTTCTTCAGAGCAATGCGCCTGCGTCTGTGTTGCAGGACACGTGGAGTAACAAGACGCTGAATCTCGGGTGCTTTAGTCCTAGGTTTCTTACATTCTTTGTTTAGAGGCTTTCTCACAACATATTTGCGGACATCATCTTCTTTAGAGAGATTAAAAAGTTTGCGGATCCTGCTGGCTCTTTTGGGCCCCAGGCGACGAGGCACAGTGGTATCAGTGAGACCAGGAATCTTTCTCCCCTTTTTTGACAATGACCAAGTCGAGAACTCTGAGGTTGGCGTCACAATGCAACCCCGAACAGATTTGCGCTTTCTCCCTGCGGTCCCCGCGGTCTGTAACAGGAGTGCCCCTGAGGCCCGGGGTCAGGGCGTCACCTCTCTTAGGACCCCAATTTGGGCCCCTAAACGCCTGCCTTTCTCACATGCAGCAGCCCCCAAAGTCTTACCTCCTCCAGCTCCCACTCAGTTCAGAACCTCACTAAACAGCAGCTCAGAGTCCCGCTCTCGGCATCAGCTCCCACCTGAGTCCGGTGAGGCAGAGACCTGGGCTGTTCCTCTTCCACAGGGAGCCCTGAGCAGACGGGCTGCCTGCCCCGCGCCCGTGGGGAGGGTGGGCACACGCCCTCGTTCCGACGGAGCACGTCCGACCCCGGGTTCTGAGGCTCGAGGCTGATGGCGGGGTGCCGTCCTCGGCTCGCGGGGGCCCCTGCATTTGGCTCTGCCCGCCGAGCACTCCTCCGCTGTCTCCCCTTCAGTCCAGGCAGCCTTTCCCCGGGGAGCAAATTCTCAGAACCTGTGGGCTCCCCACGGCGTCCACGGCGGAGCCGGCGCCCTCACGTCTGGCTGGCTGGCTGGTTGCTTCCACTGCACAGCCAGCTTTGGGCCCCACTCTGGCTCACAGGAGTGCCCGGCCCGCGGGGCCCAGTGCCGGGTTCCCTCTTACACGAGAGGCCAGGCTGTACCTCCCGCCTCGGCCTGGGAGTGTCAGCTCGGCCTCCAAGCTCAGCACCTGCAGGTCTGCTCCCTCCCCACCATGCTCCACGGCATGTCCCTCGTTCCCACAGGCTCACGGCGGCCTTCACTGTCCGTGTGTCTGGCACCTGTCCCTCCAGGGAGTCCATGCAGTGTGCAACTCCGTCGCTCCCCACCCCCTCCACGGCCACGCCCTGTGTCAGCATTTGTTAGAGCAGCACCTCCTTCCGGGACCCTAACCTGTCCCTGTGGCTGCCACAGCGAAGCCCCAGGCCAGGGGGCGGTTCTGGAAGCTGGGTGACCCCGAGGCTCGGGCCCTGTGCCCTCGGCTGTGGGAGGGAGTCGCTGGCGCCTCTTGGCTTGTGGCCACGTCACTGTCTTCATGTGGCTTTTCCCCGTGTCTGTCTTGTGTGTCCTTCCTCTCACGAGGACACCGGTCAGGTCATGTGAGGGCCCAGGCTCCCCAAGATGAGCTCGTCTTAACCAGTCACACGGGCAGCGGCCTGTGTCCAAGTTGGATCCTGGGGTGAAGCCACCCAAGACCCAGCTCGGCCTCCGACAGCGTCTGTGGCTGGTGCTCAATTAGATGGGGGGAGCGGGCAGAGCCCCGCCTGCCAG